CCCCTCTTGTCCCCACCCACTCCCTCTTCTCCCCACCCACTCCCACTAATCCTTTTTTCTTCCCAACTGGTCCCACTTCTACTTTTATGTCTTAAATTTTTTAAACTTATTTTGTGCGTGTGCATGTGCATGTGCGTGTGCGTGTGCATGTGTGTGCGTGTGTGTGTGTGTGTGTGTGTGTGTGTGATGTGCACACATGGAAGTCAGAAAACAACTCTGTATCTCAATCTCCAGTAGGTTAACTGTGATGTCTCTGATGTACATTTCTTTTGGTTTAACTGCTTAGGGATCATTCAGTTTCTCATGTATAAAACCTTGCATTTTTTGGTCAAGTTTGAGAAGTCTCCAAACTTTGATTGTTAGCACTTTCAGCCCTGTCTCCCCCATTCTCAGAGCCCCGCTGACTTGAGTATTAGATCTTCTGTTACAGCTTCATGTTCTTTGAGGCCTCTTCTTCAGCTCTCCATCACATTCTCCATCACATTCTGTTTTACAGTTCGTCCATTCCTTACCCATTCTGCCTTTTCTTTCCTTCATTCATTAGTAGGCATTTCAGATCATTACTTTTGATAATGAATTTCCACTTTGTTCGGATTCTGTATTTCTTTCCTGATCTTGTTTGTTTTTAGCTCACTTACAATCCTTCTTCAGAACATCTGTATCATTGCTACAGTAACATCTTAGCTAAGCAGCTCTGACGTTTCTGTCCTCTCCATGTGGGTGTCTAACAGACTGAGTTTCAAAGTTCCATGGGAGTCCTGGTTCTTGGAACAAGAGATTTCCAAGTGCACTGTTGTTGTTTGTCTATTGTGAGGCCCTGAGTCTTGAACATCACACTTTAACTTCTTCCAGTGGTGAGGGGACACTACCTCACTGCTTTCAGGCAGGAAAAACATCCAGGTCCCTTCCGCCTCAGACTCTGAGGACTTGAGGTGAGTGCAGCTGGAGAGTTTCTCTCCAGGTCCGGCCAAGCCCCCACAGTCCCACAGCCCACTTATAAAATGATCATTCAGACACTTATATTACTTATAAACTGTATGGCCATGACGGGCTTCTTGCTATCTAGTTCTTCTATCTTAAATTAACCCATTTCTATTCATCTATACCTTGCCACATGGCTCGTGGTTTACCGGTATCTTACATCTTGTTTCTCATCACAGCAGCTGGCAGTGTCTCTCTGCCTCAGCCTTCCACTTCCCAGAATTCTCCTCCCTCTTTGTCCCACCTATACTTCCTGCCTGGCTACTGGCCAATCAGTGTTTTATTTACTAATCAATCATCCGCAGCAGGTGAGGGTGTGGGGAGCTCCTCACTAACACTGGGAAGACATGGGGTCTCCAGACTCATATTAGGACTACAGTTATCTCCTGGCTAGAAAGAGAAGGGTGCCTCACGGCTGCTTTCCATGGGGTTTTACTGACACCATGAGCTTTGGTCCTTCTGGATGGTGGTCACCATGCCATCTCTAATTCCCCTTGTGATGGTGAACCTAAACTGCCAACGTGATTGGACTGAAAATTGCCTAGGGGACTGGTAAAGCACACCAGTGTCTGTGCTGACCTTCCACAACTACATGAAGGCTCTGACTGAATGCATAGATTAGCCTCTGACGGAGTCACGCGTTGATACTATTGGTAGGTGCTGAGGTAGGAGGTGGGGCCCCATGTGAGTCATGCCTTGGAGCTGTATCTTATCCTGGCTTCCTTCCTGTACCTCTTTTCTTTGCTTCCTAGCTACTGTTATGTGAGCAGCCTTGGCATGCCATGCACTTTCCCTTCACGACAGACTCTACACACTTCTTAAGCCATATCCGCAAATAAATCTTGCCTCCCCTTAAGTTATTTGGTCAAGCTGGTGTGAAAGTAACTAATACGCCACTCCAGTGGGAAGGAGGACGACTGTTCACCTCCAGAGAAGCAGGGGTGCGGCCGCCACATCACCCCACTGACACTGCGGAAGGGTGGGAAAGGTAAAAGAGACTGTGCAGCATGAATGGAAACTGAGGCTGGAGAGAAGATGCAGCAGTGAAGAGCACCTGTTCTTACAGAGGACCTGGGTTCAGTTCC